AAAAAAAAAAAAAAAAAAAAAAAAAAAAAAAAAAAAAAAAAAAAAAAAAAAAAAACATAAAAAAAAAAAAAAAAAAAAAAAAAAAGTAAACTTATTAATTTCATGGTTTACCCCATGAACAGCGATCGGGTTGTTGACAAGTACCCATCAGCACTGGCACTCCCTCGTCCCAGCCCTGCGATTTTCGTCGCAGCGACACTCGCGCTCGTCATCGTCTCCCGCTCCTCCGCCACAAGCGTCACCCTCGTCCACGTCGAATTTCGCGAGGGTCGAGGCGTCGCGGCATTTCTTCGGCTGCTGTTGCTGTTCGGACCCAAGTCTCACCAACGCATCGAAGGCCGCCTCCAAAGCTGCCCTGTCCAGTTGACCGCCCGTCTCCTCCTTCGGCGCGGCGGACACCCCCGGCAGGCGGATTTTCTCCAGACCCTCCAAAGGATAAGTTACTCTGGTGAATCTGTAGTATACATGGGTGGTGTGCAGCGCTCGGATACGAGGCTACTTGTGTAATTATGCTGCGTGTCATTTGCTACGGGGCCAGTTCTCTTTGATTAAATGCGGTACCGGAGGGTATTCATTAGCCTGAAAGGCTTATTGTAAATAGACGCGTAGTTCAGATGCTTTGGGATCGCACGGCGTGTATACTCTTGAAGGTTTATAGGCTAAGCTAATTAGTAACTTTTGAGCTTTGAAAATTTATGTTTTTAATTGGATAAAGATCTCGTTTGCGGGTCTTGTTTTCGTGCTTGGGGCGCTTTAAAGCAAAGATATAATTAACAATAACAATGGCAACAATGGTTCGAGAAAAAAAAAACAAAACAAAAACTCGTGTACAGCAAGAAAAAACAGTCCTTAAACTTTTTAATTACGAAAGTTCCATCCGCGGTAAGGAGCTTGTGAATTGTTATTCGATCGACACGGAGATGGGTAACTCGTGATGTTTCTCAAAATTTGTAGGTACCGTTGATCGCAAAGGGAAAACTTTTCAACTCGCGGACAACAAAAGAAGACGAGCTGAGTTCTAAAAAGTGAAGTCGATTTGCAAAACCGGGAGCCGTGAGCTTTTTTGGAATTTATTTTTTCTTCCTCGATCCTATAGCTGGTTTTTTTTTTTTTTTTCGTTTGACTCCCTTATTTGCTTATTTTTCTTTCGGCGTGTAAAGCAATGCTGGGGCCGCTCCGAATCGGAAAGCGGAAAATCAAAGTTCCGCGCTACAGTGTTTTACGCCCCGAGCTCGGCTATTGTACTTTCGAGTTCAGTTCGGTTCGATATCCCGAACTTTAAATCATTCGCGTGAATTAATTAACAAAGTTTTCTTGCGTCCGTTCTGATTTGGTTACTTTGACTTTGATGAGATCATGAAAATTGTTGTTCAACTGGTGTTGTAAAAAAAAAAAAAAAAAAATTCACGCTACATCGTATGCCATGGTGTAATCAAGTAATATTTTATTTTCTCTTTCAATGAAGAAACGATTAGACGTTAATAACGATAGTTACCGCATCAATATTATTTTTTGCAAGTAAAAATTTTAAATTAGAATAGAATTGATGCATAGAATTGATTAATGTTACAAATTAAGAATGAATACCCACGTTGAAGATATTTTCGATGAATTAACAAATAATCGAGAAATAAATTAACCTTTTGGTGATAAAAAGCTCGAGGAGTAAATTTTGCCTCAAGCCGTCAATTGTATTATACTCAACGAAGCATTGTTACCGACGTTTAAGCCAGTAAGACGAGCAAACTCGGCTCAAACGCATCATAATCATGAACAATCTACTATAAGAACCAAACAAGCATAGCTCGATCAAAGTAATTTCCAGCTAATTGCGCCATTTGAATGTTAACTCGCACTTGAACGCCTATTACTTCCTGGTAAGTAGCGTCACTAAAAAGCCCCAAGAAAAAAATCTCCGCTCACTGACGCGTATCTTCTTTCGAGTTTATAATTAGAAAAATAGAAAAAAAAAAATAATAAAAAAATAAGTAATATTTAATCATAATGACCACGTGTATTTTTAGAGAGTGTGGACTCGTATAAAAGTAGCCAGTAAAGCAGGGAACATACGTCGTACATTTCCTTGATCCTCCGCCGGCGTTCGTCCGATAGCACGACCAGTTTCTCGAGTTCCGCCGATCCCGCCTGATCGGCTGCGTCTCCGTCGTGGTCAATTAGCGCTGCCTCCGTGGATCGTATTATCTCCTTAGTTTCGGCCAACTGATAACAAGTTGCAGCCAACAGTCGGTGTCAAAGTCATACTTGTGTGTTGTGAAAAACAAAACTTTTTCGTCTTTCGCTGCGAGTCGATCGTCACGCTTTTCATACAATTATATGACGGATACTAGAAAATTATGCAACGAGATGTTTGTCGAGATCTTAAATTGCAAAGTTGCGTTTGACCGTTGTACGAGTGCACACGTCCGATGATTTCGCGTTAATTTATTCTGGCGAAATCCCTCATTTTTCATCCAATCGGAGATTTTATATATTCATACGGAACATCGGAATGAAGCTCCTGGATCTGTGGGTAATTGTCACTGTGACGTGCGTCGGTGAGTCGATTTATTTTTCATACAGAAAGCTATTGTACTTTCCAGGCATTTTCGTACTTGAATTTTTAATTTCACGCGCAGAAGCTATGCACGGAGGTGGCTACTATCCGATAACAGAGGCACCCTACCTTGTGAGAATTTTATTTTTCATTTGCACGAACGATACAGGTAAAAAGCGTACTTTGACGAAATGAATTTTTTTTTTTTTTTTGCCAGGCGCTCCTGAATATTCACTCGGTCATGGGAGCCGAATTCTGCGGAGCCGCGATCCTATCTGAACTCTGGCTACTGACCGCGGCTCACTGCGTCCTGTGAGTGTAATAATATCACTTGCCGAATACGTATGGTTAAAATAGATCGATTGGTATTTGTCAACAGAAGGAACAATACACTGTCGCAGGTGACGGTGTACCTCGGCACGAGTACTTCGCCCTACAAAAGCTTGGGGATCAACGTCACCGAGATAATCGTGCACGAGAAGTACAGAGAACAGCCCAAGGCGTTCGACATCGGTTTGATCAAGGTTGTACCACGCACAAAATCTCATTGAGGTATAGTTGTCGGAACAACGGTCTCGCAACGAGGGACAAAAATATGGATCAGCCTGGCAAAAAAAGTGTACTTTTTACGACAACCGCCTCGATGAATCTATAAATGATATACATGCTTCGCTGTAGCCGAGAATATTACTTTCCATTGTCTGGGTTTGCAAACGTTTCAGGTTGCGGAGAGAATAGAATTCACCGAGTATTTCTACCCACTCCCGATAACTCACGCGTCCCCGCGACCCGGGGACGTGGTGATCTTGGCCGGTTACGGTTACGGACACGTGAGTCTCGCATCTATCGTGTATTAAATACGCAAGTTGGTCGCAAGTAAAACCAACGTTGTCTTGCAGTACCGCGAGTTCGGCGAGGCCCTGAAAATGATGCGGCTGCGGGTGATCGAGGACGAGGTCTGCCGGAGGAATTACACGATCGGCCCGACGCAGTTCTGCACAGACGTGAGGGACGCCGATCTCTGCGGCGGCGACTCCGGGGCCCCGGCCGTGCTCAACGACGAGATAGTCGGCGTCGCCTACGAGGGCTGCGAGTACGACGCTCCGAACGTGTTCACGAAGGTGGCAGAGTTCTACGACTGGACCCTGGACAAGACGGGGATTAGCTACGGCTGGAGGAAGAGGAGGTCGCCAACTCGAAAGACTGGCGAGAGGAGAACTTGAGGAGCTGTGCCGTTATAAGTTTTTCGTTGCAAAGACGATCCATCGACAACGTCACGTCCATGTATATACACGAATAAATCACACCATATGTACGTGGTATACTCATATCTTGGACGCGCCTTTCCGAGGCCCCATCACCATTCGCCTCTCCGAGACACCCGAGCCGGCGCGCCTCCGCGTCGCTGGGACAATGGCGGATCCATCCCAATTAAGAGTCCCCCCCCCCTCTTGGTCTGTAAATCACCCGCTGTGCTACTCCGTACCCTATACGTGCTCGAATGGAAAGTAGAGATAAAAAAAAAAAAAAAACAAACAATGCCGGTGCATTACCCGGGTGCAAAGCAACTCGGCGCAGCTGTTTAGGTGCTCGTGCTCGCGCTCGAGACAGGCCAGGCGGTTCTCCATGTCGAGGAGGTCGCGCTCGCGGGAGCCAAGCTCGCGCGCTAAGATGCCGCGTATCAGACGAGCCGAGCTTGCTGCCGACGGCGACGAGGCGTCCTGTTTCAGGGGCACCAGTTGCTCCTCGCTCGGGCTCAGGTTGACGCTGCACTCGGGCTCGCGGGACAGCTGCGTCAGCGCTTCGCATTGGGACTGGGTGGATATACAATGTGTGTGTATATTATATACTTGTTGGATTTTTGCGGGAGGTAGGTCCTGTTTTGTTTTTGTTTTTTTTTTGTTTTTTTTTGTTTTACCGATAGGCTTGTTTTTAGACCGGCGACTGCTTGCGAGAGGTAGCAGGCGCACTTTTTCGAGCACGGCTTCTTGGGCTCGACAGCCGGGGTCTCCTTTTTGGTCGGGCACGTGCTCTCATGACAGCTGGTTTGCACGTTCATTGCTGTGAAACAACGAGCACGGGGGACAGAAAATATATACTATTTTTCTTTTTTTTGAATGTTCAACGATTATTGTAGCGTGTTTTTGGGCAAGAAGAACATTCTAACCTTTTTTTTATGCTCTTGACGAGCGTGTAAACATAATATAGGTTCACGCAACAACGCTAAGGCCAACCAACTTGGTGTACACGCAAATCCCCAGCTCCAATTTTTCTTATCTCTCTCCGTGGGTACTTTTTCCGTGTATGGTAAGTTTTGCCTTCATTATCGTTCGGCCAAACAGAGGACGTTACGTGGACTTACAATTATAGTAAGGCTTGGTAAACTTATTTACTTGTAAGTCATGATAAGGATGATGGGATAGGACGAGACGACGCGGGAAAAAGGGATCCTGAGTTAATCCACCGAGAGACAAAGCTGTAGGAAGTGAAATGCTTTTAATAATGCTTGTATAATGTACAGGAATGAGAAAAAGGATAGTACAACTGCTCCCTTGGATATATTTTTTCTTTATTTTTTTTTATCCGTCAGTTTCACTAATTTAAATTATTTATGTTTCTTCGTTTTTTTTTTTTTTTTATCTGTGTAATACCTATTCTATACGAGAAAACGAAGAATAATTTCAAAAGAAACTAATCTTGTCACAGTGTGGTTATGGTCGTAGCTGTGTAACGACGAGACAATGATTCAAATAAATGTTTTTTTTGTTTTTTTTTTTTTTAAATAAATGAACAATATTATTACTATTACAAATTATAATAATAATAATAATAATAATAATATTACCAACCATTCAACAAACACTTGAGAGATTAAATTATTAATCGCGCGTAATCGTACCACGAAATAATTATTGTAAGCCTCATACTCCACCAAACGGGCCATTGAGTCCCGATACATGAAATGAAAACTCGAGATCCCATTTGTGCCATGGTATCTAATTAAGACTTTGCCACCCCTCCCAAAGCTCTCTACAATGGAAGCGTAAACAAGCCGCTTTAACTTTCGGCAAGACGCGAATGACAAAATTCACGATGAATCTCTCGTCCCATGTATAACTTCTTTATGGAATGAAAGGGCACCCCAACGCCAAAGTCCCTGTGCAGAGGGAAAAAGACGCTCGACCCTCACTCCCGGTAGTCCGCCGGGGGATTTCTTCGCGAGTCTATACCCTGTAAAGCGTAATCGCGTGCCACATCCCCCTTCCCCTAAATTTCTCGAGAAAAGTGACTCCTCTCCCTTTCTCCGTAGCAGTGCGTTGGGTAATAATTGCAGCACGACGAGGAGGCAGGGCTCTCGAGGATCCTCTTAGCCGTACCGTCGTCGTCCGCCACTTTGAGCAACCGCGAACAATGGCTTGCTTTTTTTCGTCCCCCCTCCCCTCTTTACCTCTTCGCTCACGGCTTTTCTTCTTTCATCGTAATAAATACCACGCGCACACATACTTACGTCAAAGACGACAACTGCCATCGTGGGGGCCCTCTTCACAGCTGCTGTATAGCTACTGAGATTGCCAAGAGCGTTGTTTCGCGCTGCACTTGTTTTATCATTTATCGCGGTCGAGGTTTCACATACGACACGCTATCGATGATGCTACGTATAATACGTTGCAATGCGATAACAATACAGGTGTACATTCACAGACAGAGACATTAACGCAATTGACGATACAGTCCTTCCCTGCTTGCGCGTGTAATTACAACGAGCATCGGAGCCCTTGCAGCTCTGCTCGTCCAAGAAATCCTTCCCATCCCAGTGCGGCTACGTCAATCCCACGTCCAGTTGGTGGTGTATATAAATATATACACGTATATGTACGTACCGATTACACAGCCATCAAGCCAAACTCGTCTCTTCCAGGCGGTTGGCACGCGCGCGTTTTCATCCACCACCAGCCACCCCTGACTTTAGAGGCCATTGCTGCCGCGTCCGAGAGTCAAGGGGGAGATGGATGCCACGGGATAATTTGAATGGATGGGCAAACGGAAGCTTGGCCCGCATACCCGACAGCCGCTCGATGCGTTCGCGCAATTGTGTATACAGGTATAAGGGGTGGGGGGTATTTATTTTCCAATGCGGCGTGTCCATTGTTTTTCGTCTTACGACACAATGGCCCCTCCGAGACACGTGTATACCTAGGGAAGATCTGCGGTCTGTGGTGTATCCCTGCATTCGAGGCCACATCTGAAGCTCGGAGTTCAAGGGGGTGGGAATAGGTATGCACCACTCCCGGAGCGGCTGTTCTGAAACTTGCGGGGCTCGGATACTTTACCGCAGAGCACGAGGCTCTCGACGTATCTCCCGAACCGCAGGGATGAACCGCAGGAAGCAGGAATAGAGACGCGAGAACAAGCGACGCTGCTCCGATTGCGGACGTTATAATTAATTTCATCGATCCGCACGCCCACACTCGTGATTTTGGGGACCTTTGCTTCTCTTGCAAGTGATCTGCGGCCATACGGCACACGCGCTTGTAGAACTATACTGGCCTGACCGAACGCACATCGGGATATATATATATGGAGTTTCACTTGTACAGGGAAGTATATAGAGATTATTCTCCGGATTCCGGCTTTACTCCGTAGCTCCGAGGACTTTGGCGTCTGGCGATGTATAGCTCGTCTTTTGGACCGGCGTTCTCGTTGGGTTCTTCGCTCCAGACCATACTCGAGAATATAGGGGTACACTTCCCACCAACAAGCTGAAATTTCATTTCATTTGTTTTTCCCTTGAAGCAATGTGCGCTTCTCCTCTTTGAAGACAAGTCAAATTACCCATGTGTGAAACCCCGTGGTCTCTCTACTTCCCACCCACACGTATACTATAGAGACCGTCAACTAAAATGTTGGTCCAAACTTGCCGCGAGGACAACTTTGTGCAAACCAAAAAGCACCCCTTCGACGTGTCAACCCGAGCGTTTATTCCCTCTCATTTGTGTCTTATGCGCACGTTCGTGGTTACACAACGACAACGATGTGAACCACACGTGAGTATAATATATACATAGTGGCTCTCACCGCGCGATAAGCGACGAAAGTTTGACAAGTGTTCAGCCGAGCGATAACCAGCTGTACACTCTAAACATTGGTTTCCCTTTGTGGTGCACACTCCACCCAATTAACATCGAATACGCGCTTCTCGCCTTTGTACATGTACAGGCGCACCCTGCCTAAATTGTTGTCGTCGGAGCGTTATTTATTGTTATTTTTCCAAAAAACATGGCTAACTGGTCATCAACCGGGTGATGGAAACCACCCAAGTCCCTCGGATAAACCCCGCATCATCGTCTTTGCGCAGGAATTAAGCACACAAGCATATACCCGAGCGTCTGGCCTATATGAGTCTCTCTGTACACCTGTGCTCCCAACAAACGCGGCGGGCTCCGTTTAGCTCGGCAGGTGGTGCAACCACGGCTGCATTTAGGCACTGCCGATCAAAGCTCATCCAGCATCCCCCTTGCCCCCGGTGCTGCTAAGCTTCTCTCGCTATTGGTGCAAATATCGCGTGGCCAACTACACATATATGTATATACTCGCATCACGCATACACACGTATATGCCATTGCACAAATGCGGGCGTCAAGCTTGCGGAAAGCTCTGGGTGCGCGTTAATTCTTGGGGTGCGCCGTATATGTATGTACAACCCTGCCCGGTGCATGCACTGTCGCGACCGCGTGAGATGTCCTTGTGGTCACTGGAGCCAGTCGGGCAGCCACAGAGCGTAACTCAATTAATCCTGATTGATCTGCCGCCTGCGACTATACCTTCTCATCCCCTCCTTTGCTCGTATATGTTTTGGCCGTGTTTACACGTGTGGGTGCGTATATGCGTGGATTAGAGGGAAGAGACGCGTGCTGTCGCGTCAATTCGCCTCTGTGGACCTTTTGTGACTGTATATACACTGCATGCGGATAGGGCGCGCGCGTTGGAATACCGCGATTTGGGTTTCGGCAGTGCATGTGATTTTCTTTTTTTTTTTTTTGTTTAATTTCCATTAGAAACGATCGGATCGAGGGATAGAGGGTTGAGTTTTAAGCTATGAGCATTTGACAAGTGCTATCCTATCGTCTTTTTAAGTTAATTTTTGAATTAGCCATAACTGATTGAACAATTGATGGACAGATCGATCGATTGTTCGTCAAGAGTTTCACTGCTGTTTATATGACGCATTTCTTTTACCCTGCCTCACTTTTCTCCCAGAGGTTAGAGATCTTCAAGTTCACGAGTCCAAAGTTGAATAATCTCATGGTGCAGCAA